CACTCTTTACTGTGCTATAACTATTATATACAATCTATGCTATTTATGACTATTTTAAGTTAATAATAGCATGTACTTTGTTTGTGATATCTTGTTATGATAGATTTGTTGTTGTTATGTGTTCATTCTCTCTCTCTCTCTCTCTCTCTCTCTCTCTCTCTCTCTCTCTCTCTCTCAGATCAATTATTATCATTATCATCAATCCCACTGCCTCAGCTTATGTCTTCTTCCATTTCACATAATGAATCGGTGTACTTGGCATCAACAGAGTCATCTCCTCTCTCTTGTTTAACAACAAATCCTCAAGTAATGATGACCTTTTGGCTCTTGATTATGTGCATATGCATGTATTTTAATGATTATTATCATCAAGAGTAGATTATAGTAATATCACTATCACGATAGTTCAGCCATAGGGTTCATATGTGGGAATACTATGATTTATTTAAGGATGTAGTCATTATACATTGTAGTGATTGTAAAATCACATTATACATGTATATATATAATATATATACTATATCCCAACTGAGTTTGACCCAAGAAAAACTGGAATAACTTTTTATAGGAATATGGGATAAGGATGAGGCTTTCACAGGTTCTTAGTCGCTCAATGCCATCACAGGATCTCAGGTCTTGGGTCTCTCAGCCCTTGGGAACCCTGAGAATCGGGTTCTCCCTATAAACCCAATGGCATACCAAAATGACGTTTTATGACAATTTATCTACGTCATAGTTTACATAAGAACATGTGGTCAAGCGCCCAAACTGATAATTCTTCTTTTTAAAAGCTAACAGAGCAAGATCTTTTGATAAAGATTACATGTATAAAGATTAGTTGACTCCAGCAGCTATTGTACTGCTTATCTGAACAAACAAAACCCATTTAAGAGTGAAATACAGGCCAACCACGCAGCTGTAAAATGTCGGCCATGCTTCTATGAATATCATTATAAGACGTCATCAGTGACGTACACCTACATTTTTCAAATTCCAAGCGGCTGGTGTCAAACTCAGTTGGGATATAGTATACTAGTTAATTTAAATTTATTTAATCCAAATTTTCAATGAGAAACACTGTCCTGCTATACTGAAAACATGTTCACATAGTGCTAAAATATTATCTACTCTTAATTGTTATTGTTGTTTTTTATTATTTTATTTATTTAATATTAGGATTCAACTATGAAGCTATTCCAAGTGACTCAGTTTGGTCCTTCATCTCAATATGATGATATCACTCATCTCCCTAAAGATGGCTCCATTGTTACAGCAACCACGACTAAGTCGGGCGGCAACAGCAAGAATGTGACACAATATTTGTCAGTTTTTGACATCCCCAACTCAACCCACTGGAAAATAGAACTGCCCGAATGGTTAGCATGCTTTTGTAAATACACAATTGATTTATTATTTTAGGAGTAATAGTTCTTTATATTCGTTGCCAAGGAGTGTGTCTAATGTCTTCACAGCATCAGTGCCTAATGATAGTGCAGTACTAGCAGTTAATGAGAGAGGGACTGTCTCACTTATTGAGACAAACCACTTCTCGCTACAAAGGTCAGTCAATTAGTGCTGTTTTTTTGTATGGTAAAATAGTTTTAGTTTTAGTTACTGCTAACTAAAACAACACTACCTGAGTCAACTAATAGTATTTATTAGGAACATAAATACTATGTTTTTTCATTACATGTAGGTCATTGGATGAATGGTATTCCATGGTTGGCAATAGTACTGATGATAGACAACTATTCATATCTAGAGACAGTGGCCTTGGTGTGTCCTTACCAAAACATGGAAAAGTATACTCGGTTACTTAATCACCATGTACATGTATACTGCATGCTATGACAGGTTGATCCAAATAATGCCCCTCATGTGGGCGGTAATACATGGGCAGGAGGTACAGGAGGGAGGGATACAGCTGGTTTGGGTGGTAAAGGTGGACCCTATCGACTGGACGCTGGACACAATGTCTACCAGTTGTCAGATGAAGAGAAAATGGCCGTCCCTGAGGAAGTATTGTCATATTAACATGATTAGTAATACATGTATGTATGTACATGTACTCAGGTCAGACAGGCAGCTAGGGAATTGGGACAAAAAGCTTTGAGGGAAAGGTAAGTTGTGGTTATAAAAAATGAATTCTAGTGATGATCTAATAATAAAGCACACTTACAGAAGTGTAGGGAGACTATAAGTGTGACTATAGGCCCTAAGCCTGGGGGGCTTTTCCCAAATAGTTTTCAATCAAAACCAGACATAGGTGTGTTTTATTATTAGATCATCACTAGAATTCATTTTTTATAACCACAACTGTTTATACTTGCTATCTGCTCCACTTTTAGTTACCGTATAGTGTTTTATTTTGGCGATTGGTGGTTTGGAAGCAGAATCGCCAATATTAAAACCGCCATTCATTAATGCACATGCTCAGTAATGCACGTGTACACAAAAATGCATGGCCAAATTAAAAACCACCAATTATAATTTTACAGCAAAATCACCAAAATAAAGTGCCGCCAAAATAAAGGACTATACAGTATTTTAGTGTGGTCACTGGCTTTTGTGAGTTGTCATAATGACTTTGCAGTCATTTAATTAATTGACCACACCCCCAATTGTTATGAATAATTAATGAGCCCTGGTTAATTCAAATTTCTGTAGCCGTCTATAGTGTAGAGAGATAAAGTGAATGTTTTCTTTGTTGTAGATTACAAGAGATAGCAATGAGTGAACATGACCATAATGCATTCACACAGTTGAGGGCTCGGATACACAAACAAGTCGAAATGTTAAAGGCTATACTGGAAAGCACTCAAGTATGTAAATGAAAACTCCAACAGATTAAGAGCCTTTGTTTGCAAATGTGTAAATACCAACCTAAAAATTTAGTGCATTCTGTTTTTTTTGTAGTCAAAGAGTAATGAGAGACAATGGCTGAGACACCAGACAGACGGAGACCTTGATGATAGAAAAGTATGCCATTAAGAATACTGGTATGTACATTATGTACATCGTACAATCATTTCTTGTGAAACACATGTACATACATGTACATGATTATGTACCTCTTAAGTGCATAATCATGTACATGTACATGTTTCACAAGCAATGATTGTACGATGTATATAATGTAGCACCTCTTATCCATCCACACATTATAGCTAGTAGACGGTCTGACTGGTGAGAAAGCAGTCTATAGAAAAAGGGGAGAGAAAGAACCTGAGGTTTTTTTATTAATGACTGTGATATTTGTAACAATTATGTCATAGTTTGGCCATTCGTCCAATGTCCGTAAGTCCATTCGACTGGTAGTTGATGTTAGTGGGAGCATGTATCGATTTAATGGGTATGACGGCCGACTGGATAGGACACTGGAGGCTGTTCTGATGGTCATTGAAGCATTTGAGTCGTACAGCATGAAGTTCAAGGTTAAGCATTTTTGTATTATTATTATTATTATTATTATTATCACAGTTGGATATTGTTGGTCATTCTGGAGATTCTGCTGAGATACCTTTCCTTTCCTCTGAGAGTCCACCTGTGAATGAAAAAGAAAAAATGGACATCTTGAAGGTGATGATGATTCACAAATGATTATTATTTTCATCTTTCTATCTGCATGTATAGTCAATGCATGCTCATTCTCAGTTCTGTTGGTCTGGTGACAATACTCTAAAGGCTACAGCAACTGCCATATCCACCATCAGATCAGACTCTGTACCTTCTCAAGAGTCCTACGTCATTATTTTAAGTGATGCTAACTTTTCTCGCTATCGTATAAGTCCAGTTGAGTATGGGAGGTTGATCCTCTCTGATCCTCATGTGAATGTTTTTGCTGTTTTTATTGGATCCCTTGACGACGAGGCTACAAGGTTACAGGATTCCCTACCTGCTGGACGATCATTTGTTTGTATGAACAATTCTGATCTACCTATCATAATAAGACAAGTCTTATCATCATCCGTCATTTAGTCTCCAGCTTTTAGTTATTATATTATTAGAGATCATTCATAGCGAACTAGAATTTTATTTAATATTGTTTGGACCTAGAAAAACTGGAATAACTTTTTATAGGAATGTGGGATAAGAATGAAACTTTAACCCTGATCACCGGGTTCTCCATATAAACCCAATGGCATGCCAAATTTGCATTACTTGCCAAGAAAAGTCCAGAAAAAAAATGTTTACGCGATTAGAATTAGGTTTGTATATCCAATTGTGTTTGTATATCTATGGTGTGACACTTGCTTAATGAAATCATTTCTCTGGCATAACCACATTAACCAGGCATATGCGGTACAATTACCGGTACTGTACTCGTGAATCAACCTTTCAGATTGATCTATAAGCCAAGGAGACCCATTAAAGATGAAATTTTCTCGGCTGAACGTACTGGGGATTCTTCTCTTATGCCTTTTCATTTTTTGGTTGCCATTACGAAAGGACTGCAGAGACACCAACCCCCCAAGCGAACTTAGCAAAGTAGAGGGACACTGTGACGAGACTAGCAGCGAAAGCCGCATCATAGAAACCCTGAAACACATTAAATCTGTGAGTTTTTGTCATTAAAGTGGTGAGTGGTGACTACCATCATTCATGCATGGTAGCATAGAGTGAAAGGGTGAGCTACTCATGATTGCACTGACTTTCATGACTTTCCGGTCCCACTGAGCAAAATTGCCATTGTAGCTAGTTACCTTCATTTAAAGGTAAGCATCCACTATGTAACTTTGTTCCCAGTACCTTGGATGTGGTTGTGCAACATGTGAAGTTAAGAATCTCTTTACTTCATGCAACATCAAAAGTTTAAGCACAAGTTGCACTGAAGCACCCGGCAATGCTGTGGGCCGCTAGTGGATGCCCACCTTAAAGTCAGTGAGATCACAATGAAATTAAATTGTGCCTATCAGCAAGCCTCTGTGCTCATTTGCAGCAAGTCGTAGGTGGCTTACAAGATCAAAGTAACTACAAAATTAATGTTGCCAGCAACATGTTGCCTATAGTGTATGCCTGGCTTTAGGGGGCAATGCCCAAATTGACTTTATCTTCTTCAAATATCATTTCTTCAGTGACTGCTTCTAACTATAACCAAGATAACTAAGCATGCAAGATAGCTTTATTTTCTGCACAATTTAATAAGCAACAATTCAAGATCTACAATATGATGTTCATTATATGCTTTGCTTGCTCATGTAGCTGTACATCAATAGCATCATACATGTACATAATAGCGTGGCTCAGGGGCTGAGCCCCTTAATGTTTTACATTCTTCTAGTTTAAAGGCCTTTTCACACTGGCGCAGTTCACATCAATCCACCTCTGGAGGTGTGAACACAATTAATGCGCATCAATGCACATTACTTGTGCCAGTGTGAAAAGGCCTTTAAATTATTGCTGTGGCTACTACTCCAGCAACCGAACACAGTTTTTAATGCTAGAGGTCCGGCAGTCCGTTTTTCTCTGTAAAATAGCTTGTGCACATAATAGTGCGAAATGGAATTTAGTCTTTCTATCAAAAAACACTAAACTCAAATCCCAAAGCCCTACGACCCTGGAGGCTAAGATTTACGAGAGGATATTATTTCATGACCTATGCTCTAAAAACTAAACACAAAACCCCAATCCCAACCCTATGACCTCAGAGGCTAAGATGTACAAGAGGGTGTTCATTTCTTGACTTAAACCAGCCAAAAAGTGAAGAAATAGCAAAAAGTGAATTTTTAAAAAGGAAAAAAAAATCAAAACCTGTAGCATAACTTTATCCAGTAGTCCTGACCCAATTTGAACCTTTGCCCACATCCATGCAATACTACGAACCTCACCACTGTGCCACCATGATCCTGCTACATCACTTTTGCTGGTTTTCTGATTTATACTTGATTCCTATATTGTATTATTAATACTGGGGCGCAGCCCCAGTATATATAGGGGCAAAGCCCCTATTGCCGGATCTCTAGCACTGAATACTGTATCCGGTTACCGGAGCAATAGCACTTTGTAAAATGATTGATACCATTAAAATGGGAGGAGGGAGAGACTGTGAACATGGAATGAGAAAAACTTGTATAGCAGTCTTGGCACTGTCTCTTAAGACAAAATTTTGCCTGCATCATTATGTACAGCCTCAGTGGGCTATTGCCTTATAGTTTCAGCTTATCTTATTATCTAGAGAACTGCTGCAGATGAGAGGAAGTTACATCATCCAAGTTATGATTTAGATGACCTGTGGTTTAAACTTAGCCCCATACATGTGGTACGTTATCATATTTGACCCATGATGGCCTCCTTGAGTTAAAAATTGAATTTTAATTTAGGTAAGAAGATTAGGTTACTTTGACACACGTGACAAGACTCACATTTCAGTTGTATTCATTACTATGCTTGATATGAGAAATAAAACCAGACCTCAGTTATATGCCTCTTTGATATACAGAGGAAATAAAGAAGTTTGTGTTCATCTTGAAAATTGGGCTGAATCAGGTCAATTCAGAGCTTGGGATCATACACATTATTTCACTGTTTTATAT